CAGCCAGCGGTGCCGGGGCTCCCACAGGCCAGCGAGATCACCAGCAGCTTCCCCCTCCCTGGTTTGCTGCAAGAGGAATTCAGCCCCGTGAATCTTGGCTCAAAGGTCTCTGTAGTGGAACAGGTGGAGCACAGAAAGACAGTACCAAGGGAAAAATAGGTTCTTCTCACCCACCCACCCACCTCCATGTTTTTTTTTTCTTTAGCAAATACAGGGAAAAGACCACACTGGAAGATGACTTGGGCTGGCTTGGCTAGCTACTCTGGCAAGTTTTAATAGGTTTGCAAAACAGACTCAAGAAGTGTGATATAATTTGAGTTGGAATGCCGGGCTTTTGTCCCTGCTGTAATTATCCCTGGGCCAGATCAGAAACATTAGACATCCAACAGGTGATGTTCCTGGAGGAAAAAACAAACAGTTCCTCCTTTCTCTAAAGGCTACATACTTTTCCTATCTAATCAGTAATACAAAATGGGGAGGTGCTGACACAAGCAAGAATAGCCGATGACTTCATCAGTGTGGCAGCAGCTCTCTCTTTAAAGTGTGAGCAATTCATTGTCAGTTTGGGAGGTTTTGTGGGGTTTTTTTTTAAACTCTGCCTTCTATGCAGGAACCTGCAGTCACCTTTAGGACTGTTCTAGGCTTATTTGATCTATGCTGAGGCAGAGCACAGTAATACTTGCTAACAATAATACTCTCTCACAAACGCAAACTGCTGCTCTTGCAATGAAAACAAATGTAAAGCAAGTAACTCTAGTGACCAGCATTTCTTGCCCTTGTTATTAGTGGCTTTGACCTAAGAACTCAAGGAAGCTGAATCACCATAGCTAAATGTTAACACTGTGTACATAACCATGAACAGCGAGAACTTCTGAAAACTTAAGCAAATCCTTTCTTCTGTCCCTCAACAGACAGACTGGCTACTCCTGCATGGGCAAAAACCCCCTGGTAATTTCACAGAGGTGACTGGCACAACTGCAAAAGAACTATTCTAAGATTTAAAGCAGGTGGGAAAGCAATACTCTACAATGCAGTTACAGTTGTTTCTCCACTTGCTTTGAAAGTAGGCTCCACAAAGTATCTGTAATGTTTGTATAGCTGTGGAGGGTTTTTTTGAACTGTACATTATATAGTTAATTTGTCTCATGTTTTGCTATGACAGTCCTCTGGATTGTAGCTAGAAATTAAATTTAATCTATAAAACATATTAACCTCTCAGTGGCATAATCAAGGTGTCAAAATGATTGACTACCCACACTGCATCATGTCAAGTTAGAGAAGCTGAAATTACCACTAGAAGGGGAAAAGTGACTTTCAGTGTGACTAAAAATGTGGCTGCCTGCCTACACCTTCCATACTGGACAGGCTTGATGCCACAGCTGCCAAGAGCCCTCGGTACCCCTCGCCCCATGGAGGGCTGGGCGCTCTCTGGGGAGGTCCGGTTCGAGCTCCTGGGACCAGTGGCTGTTCCACATTGCAGCGTGGCAGATTTGGCCACCTCCATTTAAGCTTCTGCTGCAAGACCACAGGGAACCTGACAGAGACAAAAGGGTGCGTGTTCCCTTACGGAGGAACTGGTGGATAAGACCTCAAGATACCCATAAAGGAACTGTAAAGTGCCAGCTGTGGAGAGTCAAGCTCTTTCCAGGACCATCCAGATCAAGACTCAGTGTAATTATTATTTTCATCATCACAACTTCATTTAACAAGAAATTAATACCTCCTCTGAGCAGCAGTACAAGCCAGCAGCAGGGCATAATTCATACTATTGCCAACTTTGGACTGTTTTTCCCTGTTGAGGAGTTTGGATGTGATGGGTCCCCTACCTTTCTCCATGGGAACTGTTAATTTTCTGACGTGGTGTTGCCTTTCCACATCTGGCATCGTGGTATACTACCCTCCTTTCCACCAGCTTTTCTTTGCATTTATTTCTTGTCTACTGTCATATGGATGTTCTTGGCATTAAGTGGTGCCCTCGCTCTTGCCTATGAACCGCATGGTTAAGTCCGCTAGCAGGGGCAGGAGCCAAACCATACAGAGCCCTATTTTTGTATGTGAATGTGAAGGAGATCATTAAAAATTTCTCCCCTGATGCACATCTAAAGCAGGCATCTTCCCCAAAAGCATACTTTTTTCTCTTCTATAAGATGACATGTAAATAGTCACTCTTTCTAAAAAAAGAAATTAGAGAATACTTGTTCTATGGCAATATGTTTGCTCTTAAAAGGCCACCAAATGGGACAGTGACCAAGAATACTGAACAGGTAAGATAAATACCCACTGATTTAATGTTTAGCATGGAAGGCATTTCTAAAGGAGAGGAACATGGAGACTCACATTTTATACTTCGTGCTGAGCAAACAAATGCACCAACCTGCAGACTATGAATTACAACTGCTCTTTTTGGAATCTGGCGAGGAAACAGCAAAAATCTGAAAATGGTACGTAGGAGAAATTGGGGAGGTCCAGAGGGAACTGTTTATGATGAGGGAGAGAAGGTGGGGAAAAAAGGATGTTCCAGCTCCAGTCTTTTCTTCTCTGTAACTGCTACCCTTTGCAGCCGTCCTTACAGGCAGTCCTTACACAGCCACGCTGCCTCCACCCTCCCTGCACGCGGCTGCCCGGGCTGCTTTCCCACCTCCAGGCACTCCTCCTCCCTGAGTTACGGCTTCCTTCATGGCTGGGGGGGGTTCTGGGCATGCCCTTTGCCTCTCAGCTCTCCAGCACCAGCCACTTCCATGCCTTGAGGTTAATCCTGAGACATAAAGATCCTTTCTGCACTGGGCCAAGTCCCCTGATAAACGTAAGCTGCTGTTTTGAATTACCATGTAAGCCATTCCTTGCTTAAGGAAGCTCACCAGAGTCAGCAGCCAGCAATGACATATTTCTCATATGCAAACTGTCTACTAAATAATAGAACAGTCCTCCACTACCGATTCTGTCTCTGTGGTAGCTGGATTTTCTGAGGATGTGTCTGATCTGCAACACAATCAGTACAATATGATGGTGACACAAGTTTAGCAATTACTTTGTGAAGTTCAATTAATTTAACATAAAAAAATGGTTCTCAGATTCTGCACACAGACAGGTTTATGTAAAATATATAAACATTTGTCCAAGTTGTTACAGGTTGCATAAATATGGCATTTTTACTGTTGCATTTACAGATGTGCATGTACAATGATGTGCAAATAATCACAATTTGATTACAATCTTTGAAAGGTACTTGAACTTTGCATCCAAGTAACGCAATGAATGAAAAATGCCCGCCGAAGAATTTAAATAGCAAACTTATAACATGGTTTAAATTCTTAACAATTTTCCATGTCTCCTCAGTAACTTTCACACATTTAAAATAGTTTGTATTCATTTTATTTGTATATGTCAAAATACAATTTTTTTTTTTTCCAAAATAGTGGGTTTTGCAACTAGTTTCATGCAGATACAAGGTCTGCTCAGTACTACCAATAAAATCAATATAGCACAGTAGCCATTCATTTTTTAGATATAAAGAATAAATAACCTAAATATAAAACACTAAAATATTAGAAACACGTATTTAATCATTCACAGGCACCCAAACTTTACCAAATATAATCCAGAGTATGCCTAACTGTCTTGTAACAGAACTCAATACGTTGCAGCCATTCAATTCTTTATTTTATGTTAGTGTAAGACAATGGAAGTCCCTATGGTTCAGACCCACCTCTCATACAGATCAATTACAATAAGATATCTCAAACTATCCGTGTACCTTTAAAATCAAGAATCCTGAGCTTGGTAGTAAGAGCATAACCTTACATCTTCACAAAACCAATCAACAGAGAGAGGACATCATGTCTTCCATACCAAAACATATCCCACCCCGCAAAACTAACCCCCACCCCCCAAGTAGGCAGTAGAACACAATGACCTTTTTAAATGAAGGGGTACAAATTCACATTTAATATAGTATACAATATAATCAATAATACAATAGCTACTACAAGCTTTACAATGTACAATTTGTTTTAATGGCTGATCTGTTCAGTGGTTTTAGGCAATAAACTATGTGCCAATAGGATGTCATATTTTGAATGGTTTAGTGAAAATATAAAAGCTGTTTCTAACAAAAGCGATATTCACTTAAGTACTTTTTTGTTTTTAAAGGCCACTGAAATGTATAAAATGGTCTGACACGATGGTGTTATCAAATTGGATGCCTTCTCACTTGGCAACAACAGTGCATATAAATATTAATGTGAGTGTAATGGGTTATGTTTTTCAAATGATTTAGTACATTACTTTGGCTAGCACAACAGTTTTGGACAGCACTCAGATAAATACAGGTATGTGAAATGTAGTGAAGCAGTTATATTTATGCAATTTTTTATTATGGTGAACACTATCAAATTAAAAAAAAATGGGAGGAAAAGAAAGATAATAAAGTATTTTATATAGTTTAGACCTTTTGTAAAGATAGGGCTCCATACAATGTACAATGTCTAAATTCTTTATACCATAAAAATTATTGAACTTTGTTAAACACACTATTCTGGAGTAGCCTAATTTGCATTAACAGACATTTGCAATAGGGAAATATATTCAAGCATGCCACGTGGTGGTCTGAAAAATCAAACCAGTACACATTTATATATACAGCATCACTCAGTACCTGCTCAAATGAATGTGACGGTTACAGGATCTAACATCTTTCACTACAAACTTTTTTTTTTTTTCTTTTTTTAAAGTGACCAATAAAGGCAGAAAACAGGACTCTTAAAATATTTCTAGTTTTAACTGACTTTTAAAGCATTTTGTATAGAAATAAATGCATATTGCACAAACAGTGAAAGCAAATGTTCCACCAAACATCTCTGTTCCAGGTGGTTGGACAATACAACTCTAGGTAGCTACACAAATACGTAATTTAAAAGGGTGTGTGGTCTCTGCAAATGGTAAAGCTGTGAAAACACTGTACAAGAAAATCTGGTACATGAATAATTAGAAGGGGAAAAAAATCCAAACTTAAGATTTAAAGAAAAACTGAGTATAGAAAAAAACTGGGAATTGTGGCACAACAAAAATGTTATTGAGTAACTGTCTTCTGTGAGAGCTGAAAGCTTTTGTTGATGTAAAAGTGTTTATGTACAACTAAGGCTTACTGGTTAAATATCTGAGGCGTATCTGGCCTTGAACACTTTCCTTATTATGCTGTAGCTGTAAACAAGATTTCTCAGTCATTTTATCTTCTCAGCAGCTGCATTTTAACAGAAACAATGATCTCGATACAAAAAAACACACACGTAAGAGGGCGTTTGGCAGGATATCTGAACATGACAGTCTCCAAGGGATCTTCCCACACTTCCAGTGACTGCCACACTATGGTCCACTGGAGTTACTAGTGATGTGCAATACCGTTATTTGCTGCTGCAGTAAACCCCTTATTTGGAAAGTTTGCTTATAACTCTGATCAAGGCCCCATTTTCATCTTTTAGCCTCTGGTTGTCTGCCTTCAGGTCTGGTAGCATCTATGAAAAATGAAACATGATGGTTATTTGCTATTATACCCCAAGTAAAAGCAACAAGACTAGACAAGTACTGGGGATAAAAATCTTTATTCAGCTTAAGCGTTTTGGCAGTTCTCCCCCTTCATATCAGCAGTTTGGAAAAAATCTCACCTTTAGCATGACACAGTTAAGAGGTACAGATTAGGAGTTTTCATTTGCTTGGAGTAGATGCACTAGAACTCGGTGCAGATGACAAGCCTCTACCAAAAGCATTTGTAGTAGGCATGAGGAAAGTAATTAATTGCTTCAAATTTCAGTGCAAAACAAAAAAATGTTAATTACCAACAATTTAAAGAGGCATGTCTGTACTGCTCTTGCACAGTTTCAGAAAAACATGCTGTGGCTAAGCATATCTACCACTGTGCTCTTGGATGAGTTCATCCTGATCAGATACAGTGTGATTCAGCTTGTTAGCTCATAGCATTAATCTTCCAACCACTTCCAACCTTGTGTTGAAGCACACATCCTATAATTTGAGATCATATCCCTGAATAGCATGGTTCACACAAGATCAGATGATTGAAAGAGGTGACTGAAACACCAGGCTGCATACTCAAGCATACAAGTTAGGAGACGGCAAGTTAAGGTTGCCACAGGAGACAGGTGACACACAAGCACAAAAGCTGGAAGGCAGAAGCCAAGTGAGGTGAGTTGGACAGGATCAGACAGGAAAAGAGGACAGGTCAGGGCACAGAGGTTGGTACTGGGAGAATATAATTTGTCAGAGGAACCAGAAGTAATCTCAGCAGTTCTCCATATCTACATTCACATACTGATAACAAACCACCTACAATACTCATGGCTAAATGACGTGTATGGTTTCTAGCAGCAGGTTTACACAGGAGGTAACAGCCTATTCCTGCAGAGCAGTTATTCAGTAACCTCAGGCACAAGTGCATGCAAGAGGTCTAAGTCCAGCTAGTGAAATTCTTCATGATGATATTTCCTTGCCACTAGTTTTGTTTTAATTTTATTCAAGCCAAATTATAGTTTCAACCCCATCATATTCAGAATATTATAATGGGGAACAGAAAAAAACTTAAGTTGTTTAAAAATGCAGGGTTAATTAACTGTGCATTACACTCGAGGCTTCATTTTCCTCCAAATCCTCCAAAGGATTCCTGTCCACACTCAGTTTGCCAAAGAGGAGACCCTCTCACAAAGCAAAATGTGGTGGTGCACTGAAGATAACTGAGCTTACATGATCTCTAGTTCATGCACCTGCCAATATCAGAGTACGTGAAATGAAGGTGACAGGAGTTCATAACGGGAAAAAACTGGTCTCCACAGTTAGAGTAAGTGAAAATCACAGAATCACAGAATCGTAGTGGTTGGAAAAGACCTTTAAGATCACTGAGTCCAACCGTAAACCCAACACTACCAATTCCACCTCTAAACCATGTCCCTAAGCACCTCGTCTACCCGTCTTTTAAATACCACCAGGGAAGGTGACTCTACCACCTCCCTGGACAGCCTGTTCCAATGCTTGACTACCCTTTTGGTGGATTTTTTCCTAATACCCGATCTAAACCTCCCCTGGCACAACTTGAGGCCATTCCCTCTCATTCTATCTCTTGTTACCTGAGAGAAGAGACTGACACCCACCTCTCTACACCCTCCTTTCAGGTTGTTGTAGAGAGCGATAAGGTCTCCCCTCAGCCTCCTCTTCTCCAGGCTAAACAACCCCAGCTCCCTCAGCTGCTCCTCGTAGGACTTGTTCTCCAGGCCCTTCACCAGCTTTGTTGCCCTTCTCTGGACCCACTCCAGCACCTCAATGTCATTCTTGTAGTGAGGGGCCCAAAACAACACAGCACTCGAGGTGCAGCCTCACCAGTGCCAAGTACAGAGGGACAATCACTTCCCTACTCCTGCTGGCCACACTGTTTCTGATACAGGCCAGGATGCTGTTGGCCTTCTTGGCCACCTGGGCACACTGCTGGCTCATGTTCAGTCAGCTGTCGACCAACACCCCCAGGTCCTTCTCTGTTTTTTTTCGCTCTTCCCCAAATGTGATCCCAAGGGCCTGTGATCCTGAGACATGGGAATCATTCTGCTAGCCTCTGACCCATGGTGGAGCTGACAGCAAGCCACCTAAATTGAGCTCCATGGTAGAGCTCAGGGCAAGCCGTCTATACCAAGCCCTTCACAGAGTCAGAGGGAAGTTTCCATTACAGTCGAGAGAGTTGTGCTCTGAACAGAAAGTGCTGTGAAATGCTGATTACTTTCAAAAACCATGTCAAGGTGTTTGAAATTGGGCAACACAAGTAATAATTTTGCAATTTGCAAGTATTATCTGTGTTAAGTTTGTAAAAAACAGCTACTGTTGATTGAGATACACGTGCTGGGGATCATACCCAGGTAACAGGCCCGTGTACCATACATTAGTGCATACATCTCTAATATGAGGATAAACCCCAGGTTGTTCTATGACATGTATCTGCAAACAATGAAACAGTCATTTGTTCAGGCAAAGCAACTAACACCTTTCCTTCCTCCTTTTCTTTCTGTCATGGACTTCATACCAAAGATTCTGGGTGAAACCACAAGAGCCTTCATCTAGTCATACACAAGGAAGCAAGGGAGTCTGATTTGGTTCTTGTTAATTGTGTATCCCAACAAGTATTATCATGTATGCCTTCCAATGAAACCTCAAAGTAACTCCAGCAACGTCACAGTCCTCTTTCAACTCACTGACTAGGGACCTGCAGCCAATAATGCTCAATTATTTACAGGCAGACCCACAGGTAGTATATTTTCTCGTGAACTATTTTAACAAAAAAAAAAAAAAAAAACCCTGCTGTTCAAATTTAGAGCTTTAACATAATCCAGTACCATTATATGTCTGCAAATCTCTGTAGACAGATTTTAATCCTGATTAAACTAATAGGTAGAATAGGTATTAAGAAAATATTTTCTCTTTTGTTATGAGTCTGCTAAAGAATAAGGGAAAACTGGTAGGAGACAAAAGCAGTTATGAGTAATAGGAGATTGATCAGGAAAGATAAGCTTAAGTAACCTAAAATACTTATGCTTCTCATCTATACTAATCCCCACATACTTTAAACCTAGCCAAAGACATTTATACAATTTTCTTGGAGCAGTGCATTCCTATGGTACTCAAACTTTTAATGAGGTGACACCACACACCTTCAATGTGCAGAGGCAGGAAAAAAAAGCTTTCAATACCAATCTGCTTCTCACTAAAATAGCAAACTGTTTTCCTGTGATGATATTCTTGAATGAGATTACAAATGCACTATTTTGCCTATCCAGATATATGATGAGTTAGTAACTTTGCAGTGCTGTAGTTGAGTAAATAATTATTCAATAATCACCTGACATGTGGAGCCAACTCAGATCTTAACAGTAATAATAATGTCTGTGTTTTCTGGAGGATTTAACAGTTTTTACATACAAAACAGCTTTGTAAGTTAAGATTTCAAAAAGCTCATGAACTGTTAAGGTACCTGTTCAGATTAATCAGGCACATTGCTATGGTTAAGCTACCATCATAATGTCAAGCCTCCCTGCTGGGTTTCCACTGCTTTTCTTTCACTAGCCCAGCTCCTCAAGCTCCACAATGATCTTTTATTGAAAACTCCCCCTACAAAAAGGAATACTGAATAGTTTTCTGTGGGTTAACACCCTGAACTGGCTTACCACGGTTAAAGGAATGTCAGCATTAGCAAAAAAAGATGGTATGGATGTGTGGCTGTGGACAGCAGTCATTAGATTAGCTCAGCTGTGTTGAAAAACCACAGTTAGCTGAAGCTGATGTAAGATGGGCTGCCCGACAGGGACAGCTCTCCCTCCTCATGCAGCAGTATGCTCCTGCTGCTTTCTGCCTGCTATTCTAGTGATTCAACAACGCTGCAGTGAGATGGATCAAGTAATGTAACAAATAAAGGGATTTGTTTTCAGCCAGGTCAGTGAGCTGACTTGACACACTCAGCAAGGGTTAACATGTCGAGGAATGCAGGGCCTGGACCTTTCTATCCACATCCTATTGTTAGATAGGAACTCCAGGAAGAAATGAAGCCAAAGAATAAACCTTATCTTTATTTCATGCCTCTTAATGGGGAAAACGAGAGATCAGACTCTGAGCAGAATGAAGAAAGGTATGCTCAGTGCCTTGATTCTAAGCAGGAAGGGGGTAGGTGAGGAGAAGTGGTTTAGCAAGAGTCACTATGCAGAAGGAAATTTTTTTTTTTCACCTACAGATCTTAAAAGCTCACTGACACCTCCACCCTATACAGTTGTTATATAAGAGGAGGAAGAAAGGCACATAGATTTGGTGTGGAATGAAACCACGTTTTGTTCCTCATAGTAATTTTGAGCCTCCAGTGGGTTTCTGAAACAGCCCTGCAATAACACTAAGGACAACAAACTGGTGCTTTTTTCCACAATGAAACTCAAAACAGTTCATATCTCTGACAGGAGGGGGAGTGAACCAGATGACCTAGTAAGTATGAACACACTGGACAGATATTTTTGTGTGTCTGTGTTTGTACAGTCCTGGTATGACAGGATTCTGGTGCACGACTAGAACACCTACATGTATAGCAATACAAACCAATAACTTTCAACTCAGTGCTAAAACTGGGTATTTTAAGCTGCCTAGATAAAAATAGAGATTGGCCATAACCACATGTTAGTATGTGAAAATATTAATTGACTTGAAACTCCGACAGATTTTTAAAAGAAAATACTTTGGTTCTCTCTAAACACTAAAGTACACATATGTAAGAAATACAGTTGCTAATGCAACTGTTCTGAAATGCACCGTATAGAAACCACTTCTCAATCATTCTTTAGTTGAGACTGGATTTGTATAAATTCTATGCACTTGAATTATACTGCAGTAAGAAAGCTCAGTTCTTAATTTCAATTTGTTAGAAAACTAGAGGCAGATCTATGTATTTGAGCATTTACTCAAACATGAAAACAAGGGAGTGACTTCAGTGTATCCTAGTGCAAACTCAAATCCTTTCAATTGTTGCCAAGGTTTTAACATGTCAAAGGTCTCCTGGATCACTGCCAATTTATCTTCAAGTAAGCGAGGACAAGCTTTAGCACTAGTAAGGACAATACCACACCATACCAACACGCCTGCGACACCTGTAGTTGGTACACTGGACACCATGCTTTAGCCACACTTCCATAACCGAGCAGCAGTAAGTCAGTTTCTGACACACACGTGTTAATAGTAAAATTCTATCCAAGCACAAACTGAATGTCAACACCTGCCTGGCTACACAAAGGAGAAGGAAGAAATTACAAGTCCGAAGAGCGCAGCTGCCTACAGGACCCTGACAGCTTGGCAACCACTCGGGTCAAGGCCCTATTCTCAGTCACCAGTCGCTCATTTATGTGTCTCAAAGATTGAATCTGCTTTATTTGTTGCAGGTTCTGCAGGAATCAAAGAAATAGGAGTGAAAGCAAGAAAAAAAAGCCCATGTATATTATATTTAGGAGAACTAGAGATGAACAGAACTGAAAGAAAACTTAGAAGAGAGAGTCCTGTTTAAAGTAGATAAGTTGCTGTGAAAGGAAAGTATCAAACAAGTGGCACATTCTTGAAAAGCAATCTAAGAACCAGCAGTGATTACTCACAGCTTTCCAAAACAGTTCAGGATACATTAACAATGAGAGGTATTCCTGGAATTCTTGATTTAACATCCTAATTGCACAAACTAAATCCCCTATTCAAAAGTCTGTGAATAATGACACATTTAACATATACTTTTACACAGCAGTGCAATGAATGCTAAGAAGAATATTTAATCTTTAATTCAAAACTTTCACATATTGCTTATTGAAAGTAAGCTTTTGACAAGAGGCAATATATTTGCATTCTTTATTTTTCTCGTAAGCCCAACTTTGCCTAACAGGAATTTACAGGCTGATGATAGAAGCCCACATCCAGTCTTCCACCCTCAGACACAATTATTTTCCTATACCATAGTTTGCTTTCTACATATTTCACCTGTGAAGACCCCTCGAGGAACCACAGACATTGCGTCCTCCCGTACAGCAAACTGTCTTGGCCTGAATCCAAGGAGCTGGAGGCATCATGGTTGCCTTCTAGCTACATCTGCCTGTTAGTGTCAATTATTTAAACAAAACTTTGCACATGTATTTTAATGAAAAGTATGTGAAAGTTAATGCCATTTCCAAGCACCAGAGGGAGCTCAAAAATGAGCTTGAAAGGAAACTTTTTATTAATCAATGACAAATATAAAATGTCAAAACACTGGTACTTTTTAAAATTCTGGAATGCAAAAATGTTTCCTATTTCATCATGTTCCACTAGTTTACTAGTCATACTTTTATTCTATTAGTTTGGTTGGCCCTGTCTAATATTATATCCAAGGACATCATGCAAAACAAACCTAACAAATTTCTCACTCTTCTTAATCATAAATAAGAAAACTAGAAAAGTCATACCATGACTGATTAAAGCCAGAAATGTATTAAAAAAGATTTTCCTTCTGGAATTCGGTTTATACATAGTTGAAAAAAAGAAGAATCGGTGCATGTGGTAAATGGTACTTATTTGTCAACATCTGAAATCTATCCACTGATTTGTGTTAACTAAAAACTGACTATTATTCACTCTATACAAATTAAAGTTCTTCTTTTGATACTGGTAATATGCTGTCTACTACATAATTTAAAGAGCACGAGATAAAGGTTGAGGCAACATTTAATGCTTAAATGTCTATGAAAGTATATGTTACCATTATTTTTAGCTAAAAAAAAATAGAGTATCACTTCAAAAACATAGATTGCAATTCCATCTTGATTAGATCAAGATATATTTCACTCCAGCCATCTCTGAATGCTTCCTTTTAGCCAGTAAGTTATAGAAGCATAAGTCCCTGCACCTTCTTGGAAGTCCTACGTGTGACTGCTTACATCGGCATAACAGCTTTGCTGCAAGCTGTATGACATGAGTGATTTTCAAATGCAGCTGTAACTTAGTTATTTTCTAATTAAATTATAGACAAGTAATACTGCCAGACTACATTTTGCCCTGACATAGTCATACATTTTATTATTAATAGTTTAACATGTAATAGTTTACTTACTTTCAGTTCCTCTTCCATTTCAGATATCCTTCTTTCTAGAGCTCTTCTTTCCTAAATCAAAAGATGTGTGTTAACACTGAACAATACAATTTTTTAAAAATTACTGCTTGTAAATAATGTGGTAACAGTGAAATACTTCAAGTTTCAAAGATCATACAACCAAAAGCATAGTGTGTACAGGAAACTTGTGATGGCAGTGATACATAGAAATTTTGTCAATATGGAATTTTAATATCTGAGGAGGAAGAGATATATAAATTTACATAAAGTCCTACAAAATATACCCCTCCCTTGACACAAATTTAGACAGGTACCATTTGTTTGGATTTTCTTGTCATGAGCTAGGCTTCCACGACAGCTTAATATACAAGAAATACAGAAAATTATCAGAAACAAACAGTATTAAAAGAAACAAGCACAAAAGCATAAGCTTTCACAGTGAAGCAAACGCAGCTGAAACACCTGTCTCAGCTCAGAAGGATCCGTCCACACTATAACCTGCAAGGTAGTGTGGATACATCCAAATTTACATTAAAGGAGTTCAGCTGAGTACCAAAGAAATCTAGCTACGTAAGACCACCAGCTTCTTGAGCAAATGTTTCTTGAATATTTTCTGCGTTTCTAGTATAGTTTTCTTTTCTTTTTTTTCTTTTTACCTGAGAAGCAGGAGAAATTATCCTTTGTAGAGAACTTCAGGTTGTTTTTATTACACTGATTACAGTACCCAAGCTAGCTTATTGAAAATTAGCTTAGGGTTTTCTATACTATGCTGCAGTCTGCAGTGCAGACACACTACTGTATTTCTAAATGACATTATTTTTGTTTAAACATAATTTTCAACACATCTGACAGATGAATAGCTAATACAGTAGACTTCAGGGCTTATAGCTTGATGGCTTGGCTTGCTTTCCTGTGTCAGACAATGCAGTGTGTCTCATTTAAAAGCAGCTGCGGTTATCAGTATTCTACATTCAGATTTTTCCAAAGTGTGAAAGGCAAAAGCAACAGATTATTGCAAAGTGGACATATGCATCTGCATACAATGGTGTTATGCAAACAGCAAGCAGCATTGACTGAGGTGTGTAAAACTTTGGTTAGATCATACCGCCCAGTAGATACTGACTCTTGCCGGTCACCTTTCAGATATAAATCATTTGAATTTATTTAATCATAATGCAGTTATACCCCAACATTTTCCCATTTTAGCAAACAACTTCAAAGATTTCTCAAAGTAATAGATTACTGCAGTTGTTAGTAATGTACTTAACTCCTCTGAGTTAAGACTTTCCCCATAATGATACTGACTGATAGTAATGGGCATAGTTAAGTACCAGCGAAGTTAACTGCAGTAAGTAAGCGCCTAACAAAAAACCCACGCCATCTTACATTACTTAGAACAGTATCAGTTACTGACTAGCTTTGCAGAATAACATTTACTATCAGTGCTCTTACATTAAGCAATATTTGACAATTCCTGCAATTAACAAGAGATGAATGATCACATAAATCTCACAATTTCAGATTGTTAGAAATTGTTAGTCCTTTAGATGCATTTACTTAACCAGCATGTTGAGCTTGTCTAAGAACAACTATTAGCAATAAAAGCCAATTCAATAAGATACTTATTTCATTAACTTTGTATACTTCACATTATATAAAAGAAACATTTAAATGGACTGGCCTAGATACAAGTTTTTTTGGTAAAAATGTATTGTTCTGATTAGATCAAGCTATGCTTCTCTTTCTCCTGAATTGCTTACTCTTTTAGGAACTGGCTTGAGGAATGCCAACAGAACACACTGCAGTTTCACTGGGAGGATTTGCCAGTATTATTTGATTAGTCCCTGGACTCAAATAAAGGGTTTGAAATTTATGCAGTCTAAAATTTCATTATCAAATTCAACAACTCTGTAAGGTACACCAAGAAACATCTGTAACCCTCAACATGAAAAAAACACATGCTAGTCTCTCAGCTTATAAAATACAATAGCTTATTCATATTTATCAAAGCAACTAGGAACCACAGGCTTGGTGCAGTGAGATTGAGGTACAGGGACATACACAGGTGAAAAATCGACCCTGGAGTTATAAAATTATTAAAAAGTAAAACTACATGTATATACATACATATATTTGTATATTCAGTAATACCAAAAAATACACCTCTCCACAACTCCAATTCCCAGATGATGAATTCTAATTTGGGTGAAACTGGTTAAAATTACCTACAATTCTGAATTCTGATCCAGAATGAAACCTGGCAGTTTGAGTTTTATTACCACATCATATGAAATTCTGCAAAGGACTTTCAGTTTACTTTTCCAAGTGACAGGTCATTAATGAAACACCTATTTTTGCCTGGACACTGCATCTGTGATCCCATGGAAATAGCCTCTTTCAGATAAACAGTTTGCAAATGAACAATACTGACAATGCATCACCAAATCACAACGTGGAAAGCCACTTCTGAAGGCTGAGTTCAAATAAAATTAAAAGCCATTATTTTCTAAATTTTATTACTGTGCAATTCTAGGTTTAATAAATGTTCCTAACATCCTTACCGAAAAGGTATGTTTCAGCTTGAAAATGCCATAGTTCAAAGATGCCTTCCGGTTTTTCTCTGCCAGCCTTTTATTTCTTCCAATTTATTCTCAACACTTTTCCCCTCCCCTTTTCTCTATGTAATTTATATAAACATCTTCAGGTTTGTATTTTAGTTAAGTGAAGTCATATGCTTGGAGACATACACTTAGAAATGCTCTACAATTTGTTTCTCTTTTTTACATTTATATGGTTACATTACACATTAAAAAGATGTCTTTAAAATGATTCTTCAATTCTGAATTTGGTAAGCTTTTTTCTAGAGATCAGCTATTGATGACTAGCAGTTGAGAATCCTGCTTCAGTCACGTTTAAAGTGCAAGTAGCTCCAGATTTTAAAAACAAGGGAAATACAATTGCAAATAAATTCCTGTTTTAAATTCTTGTCTGAAAAGAAGTTTAAAATTACAAAATACAAGGAACATCTCATCTCCTAAATCTTGTGTAAATCATGTTTCAACCATAGAACATTATCACTAACTTTATTTTTTTACCTGCTAGCTTTAATACTAATACATTTAGGAAGAGTAACATTTCTGAAAGACATTTTGCTGTTGGACTAAAAGTCTTTACAAAAAAAAGGTGCAAGAATTTCTAATATAGCCAATTGTTTTAATGCAATGGCCTATTTTGGGAAAAAGCTAAGAAGTAATTTAAAACTGAAATAATGTCTAGCTATGCAGTACTGAGTGCTCTGCACTATAGAACCTACTTAGTAATGGACAGAGCTACATCTATGAAATAATTAAATGTCCACTTGTGTGGCTGTGATAGCAAGCAAGAAACTAATTAAAACTACTGATTAAACTTTTCTACTGATGAAATCACCATCTACAGCAGGATGCAAAAAAAATCAAGGAGAAATAGGTGCTAAAAGGCCACTGCAATAATCTGGAGACATTATTAAGATAAAGATAGTGGAAGTTCAGGAAGTGTCAGAGAGCATTTTTACATCTCCATGTGCTCCTATAAAATCTGACAAGTGTTTGTTTACAGATATGTTTTTAGAACTAAAAATTGTTTTCTAAATGTCAAATACTGGAAAGTAAACACAAAAGGCTAGTGAATGTGAACTTTACCAGGGATAAATAAATGTATAACACAGCACTTATTACTGTCAAAGTCCATTTAATTTTCTTCCCATTTAAGTGTCTAATGCATCACTCCAGAATCAGGGGAGGAGAAAGGAACACGTGGCCAGGGTCATGAAGAAAGCCAGGACCACAACAGAACCAATGCAGTTTGCTTTACATTGCTGTGGAACTAAATGTTTATAGGGAAGGAATTTAAGCTGGCATGAAACTACAGCCTAAAATTATCACGTGTCCAACTTCTGAAATAATTACTGTAGTCTATCTCGTACATAGATTTATTACAGGACTCCTTTCCCATTCAATTTGGGGTTGTCTCTGACCCTGATGCCCCTCTTCCCACACTGCTTACTCATTCTTCCCCTCAGACCCAGTATCACATTCCCTCTGGGAAAAGTTACAGTACAAGGAAAGAGACAGATTATGATTAATATGATATCATTAGCAGGTTTAAGGTCTCAGGTCTGTGAGACAGAAACAGCTACTTCATTCACCAACAATAATTGGTAAAAAAACACACATGCTTCTGTAAAGCTCTGAGGAAATTGAAGTCTCTGAATGTTGTAAATGCATTAGAAGATGAGATACTCTGAATCTGCTTAACCCTCTGGAGTGCCAACATTGTTTTGGATGAGATGGAACAAGTGGCAGATCCCTGGAGGGCAGTGGGGTTTAAAACCTAGTTATCACAAACCAACAGGCAACCTAAAGGCAATTCTTAAGAGTAATTCCATCTTGCAGTATTTCACATTCATTGCCATTTTGAAAACTAAAATCCTCAAATCTTCTAAAAAATGCAAGTTATAAGAAAGGCTTCTGTTCCCACTAAAACATATCCAAGCCAGAGGTTGCAAAACAAACTAAAACAAAGCCTGAATTGGAGTACTTAAGAGATCTTTGGCAGAAACTCACCCTTTTCTCCATTTCCAAGAGTGATCTGTCAGCAAATCTTTCTTGTCTCTGAAACACAAAATTAATAAAGACATTGGTACTTGTTCTTAAACAACATAAAACTAAGCAAAACCAATTCAATTGGAGGTTTTAGTATTCTGTCCGAAGTATGTCTTCAAAAGCACTTTAAAGTGTGTTCAAGGAAGTAACACTGAAATGAAGAATAACAAAGAATGAACTGTATTTATCACACACTTCCTCTGTGACCATCCCTATGCAATGTAATCACTACACAGCCTTTGGAAAATAGGAATAATATAGTATTTCTATCTAAAAGCATTACAAAACAAACATCTTTTTAATGTACTTCACTGATATTTATGGGGTACACGTGGAAGACACTTAACTACCTACACAGGTAAATTGTGGC